CAAAAGCCTCACTGGGATTCCGGTACATGCGATCCGCCATCTGCAGTAGCCTGATGAGGAGGATAGAATCAAAACCATCTAACAAAACCATCTAACAAAACCATCTAACAAAACCATCTAACAAAACTGGTAGTAACTGCTGCATCGCTTTTCGCTCAGTATTAAGAGGTTATTATTAGGACTAATGTGCCTGGCATCAGGCTAATGCGATTCGGTGGGAATTCATGCCACATGTTTGCGGAATGATACCCCAGTGCTAGACAACATTATTAACTGTCACACGTCTGACACTATGTTCCATAACGTGTAAAACCTAAATCACATACACATCTTCACACAGACCAATATTTTACAAATTTGCTCTCTTTATGCAATGATTCGTATCAACTCTAATAAATATAAACACTTACTCTGCACAATATAGATTACAATGTTATTCATCTGTTCATTCACGTAAAAGAATCTTACAAAAATTTAAGGATAATATGTAATAACAATACATTCGTCCATTCTGAAGTATACAATTAGTTTCTTTGCAAGTGTGCGGGTGTTCATATATGTCTTATATGCAGTCATTGCTTTCTTTTTGTCGTATCATGTCACATTGTTCGTATTTTTCCTAACATTCTTTAAATGAGACCTTTCCGTTAGATTTAAATTGGGCAGGCGAGATGGCAAGGTAGGCGGTGGTTTATGGAGACCTATCCAAGTGGGGACAATTATTTTTTGCAAAAGTAGTAAGTTGTAAAGTAATAGTTAACTGATTTTACCTGATAAAGAATCTTCTGAAATTAAAGACTGGCAGGAATTTGTTATTAAGAGACAACATTGGAAAAGGGAAGCAATACAACCTGTATTTAATATCACATTAATTTTGTTTCTAGATTTTAGTAAGAAATCAGGATCAGTCTACTTTTCCACACTAAAATGTATTCGTCTCAGGGCACCTCCAAATTATAAAATAATTTGAATGCTTAAACATAAATCTTATATCATATCAGCAATTCTGACATATATAGAAGTCAAGTTAACCAACGTTATTAAATTTTCGTCACAGCACTTGTACTGCCCTTACCATTGAAAAGACATGTACAAAGTAACTTTGCACTTGTCATATTAATCAAGTGGATGGGGAAGTAAATTTGCCTAAAGATGAATTACTTTTGCCCAAATATTTCATGTAATTTAATATTCAAAATGCACGTACCTTCCCAAGGGATTAGATGGATGTAAATTGTTCCTTGGTTTACTCAACCATTGTTTATCCGAAAACACTGATATTGATCTTAATTTAGAAATGTGTCCGCTTTGCAGATAGCATACTTTAAAAGTCAAATCTGGAGCGAATATTGTTAAAATAAAAATCAAATATTTCTGCAAAAGAAATGCAATGTTTTAAAATAGTTTCGCAAAGCAGGTTCTGTTGTTTCGTTCTAAATGCCAACAATAATCAATATAGTCTATAGAAAATATGTTCTTTGAAATGTGTTATCAAGTTTGTACGTATCAATACAACTGAAGTATGTGTGTGAAGCAACGTGAGGTATTATATATATTCATTGAACATTCTCAGTCAGGTCACCGGAAAACAGAAACTTTAATCAATGTAAACTTACTTATCTAAGAAAAGCATATATCAAGCTCTTGAAATGCCTTTTTTCCTTTACATACCTAGGCTATAGTCTGACGAATGTCTTTTTCTTCCTAGCTTTTTCATCATCCTGCGGATAATATCCCTATAATATGCCCCAAAAGAAAGCGCAGGACATAAATTATATAGAAAGATAGATAGATAGATAGATAGATAGATAGATAGATAGATAGATAGATAGATAGATAGATAGATAGATAGATAGATAGATAGATAGATAGATAGATAGATAGATAGATAGATAGATAGATAGATAGATAGATAGATAGATAGATAGATAGATAGATAGATAGATAGATAGATAGATAGATGGATGGATGGATGGATGGATGGATGGATGGATGGATGGATGGATGGATGGATGGATGGATGGATGGATGGATGGATGGATGGATGGATGGATGGATGGACGGACGGACGGACGGACGGACGGACGGATGGATGGATGGATGGATGGATGGATGGATGGATGGATGGATGGATGGATGGATGGATGGATGGATGGATGGATGGAAAGATGGCTGGCTGGCTGGCTGGATGGATGGCTGGCAAGGCTGGCTGGCTGGCTGGATATATATATATATGGGGTGGGGTGGTAGGGTGTGTGTATGTGAGTGTCACTGGGGTAACCTTTGTTGCTTTTTAGGATATTTCCAGACAAAAAAATAAAAACTATTTTATGTCATGTGATACCATTATCATTTTTAACGTACCTTCAACAATTTTTCAGTCATATCGCTACGATGTCTGCTGTGAGGCAGTTTATAGTGATGTCTTGCACTGGGGCATCAGGCCTCATGCATGTAGCACGATGTCTCACCCAGAAACATTATCCTGACACCAGGCTGACCAGTCCTAATATTTACCTCTTATTGACAAGTGGTAATCGAGGCAGCTTTCGGTACCATTTTTGCATGTCTTTGGTAAGTCTCGATCGAGGAACGAAACAATGATCTCTCGCATCCGAGGCAAACGCTCTAACCACTAGACTACCTGAGCTGTTAGACTATTTTTAATGTTACATATATATATATATATATATATATATATATATATATATATATATATATATATATATATATATATATATATATATATATTTATATATATACAACTCTCACGTTTGTGTAGTGAACAACTGAGCAAAGAACTTTTATATTATTTTACACATAAGGAAAGATCCCTTGCATCTCTTTGTATCTTTGTGTTGTATAGGACATAACATGGCTCTGCTGTGAATATGCATTTTGTTATAAATAAATCGTTGTGTCTCACTAACAAATATACAATTAAGATAATCTACAATCCATCTTTGTGTATTTTCCTGATCTCATCCGCAGAAAGCTCAGACATCATTTTAAAAAAAAAACAAAAATAGCAAATAAATCCTTAATATCAATCACATACACTATGCATTATTTTAGATGAATGAATTCAATAAACACATCACATTTGTAACAGAAGTAAACATCTTTCGACTAGATTAATGTTCAAATTAACTGATGAATCAATTTCTCCTTTATTTTGTATTAAGTTCATTCAATGACTACATCGGATGATCAAATACTTGAGTGCAATCAAGACCATGATGAACGAAAGATGAAGTGATTCGAGAGAACATATAAGCTGTTGATTGGGCTATCTAAAGCTAGTAACCTGCTATACACCTAATACTCATGGCTATCACTGCATCAGGTTTTAATGCATTACTTTGACAGCTCCAGGGCAGAAATCACGTTTTTCTGGATAAAACAACAAACAAAATAATCCTCAGCGTCTTGTCTACACCTCTTGTTACAATACATCTCTGAAATCTCAGCACGATTTATATTTTGGTATTAGAAAATGTATCGAATCTATTTTTGCGTCACTTGTTGTCCAGACGAAGTCATTCTGGATATTTTCGTCCCAAGGTCCATGGCCAGACAATTGACCAAAGTCTCACGTAACCTTGTATTGGCCTATGACCGATATGTCACACCTGACCACGTGAAATTTTGCTTCTGGCCATCCTCACGAGGACAAAATGAAAGGTTTCACAATTACCACAGGTGAAAAAGTGGCACCTCCAGGTATTTGTCCTTCTTTCATTCTCCACAATCCAGGTGTATAAAATGTACAGCTAAACTGAAATCTGTCGTCGTTGCTTTTAATTTGTTTCGTCTTAGATTTCATGGTCAAGAACATAGTGTTTAAAACCGTTGTCATATCAGCTTTGTATAATGTTGACTGTTTGCAATATTACTTTTTCCATGTCAACATATATATATATATTTATTTATATATTTATTTATTATATATCTCAAACAAATGCACTTATTTGGTTTCATTCATATGAAACCAGTTGCGATGAAAAAGGTGTTGTTGTGTAAAACCTGTCATATATAATGGTGTGTTCTAGTCTTGCATCCATCATATAAAACCAGTGGCTGACAAATAGGTGTTCTAGCGTAGCATCCTTTATATAAGACCTATTGTATATATTGTTGTGCACTTGTTTGGTATCAGTGTGTGGTATACTTTTATGGTGTCCTTTTTTGGTATCATTGTCTGGTATCCTAAACCAGTTGTAGAGAATGGGGTTTTCAAGTGTGGCCTCCATTGTAAATACTAGTAGCTAACAATGAGATGATCTATTATGGCGTCCTTCATACAAATCCTGCATGCATTTCATACATACATTCATACATACATACATACATACATACATACATACATACATACATACATACATACATACATACATACATACATACATACATACATACATACATACATACATACATACATACATACATACATACATACATACATACATACATACGTACGTACGTACGTACGTACGTACGTACGTACGTACGTACGTACGTGCGTGCGTGCGTGCGTGCGTGCGTGCGTGTGTGCGTGCGTACGTACGTACGTACGTACGTACGTACGTTCATACATACATACATACATACATACATACATACATACATACATACATACATACATACATACATACATACATACATACATACATACATACATACATACATACATACATACATACATACATACATACATACATACATACATACATACATACATACATACATACATACATACATACATACATACATAGAGAGGTTATTTACTATCTCTTCACCAAAACTTAAATGAACTTATGCATAATGTTCGTTTCATTAAAGTATAATTCTCAACGATCTATGGGAGATGCTGTTGCTGACCTTCAATTGAGCCTGTCCAGCGCAATTTTAAAAACTAAACTTGATTGGTCGTGTTGCTTGTATATCCACAATTGGTCTATCTTTTACTATATGAATTATTTACACCTTTAATCGTTCCAGGGACTTAGTGGTTAGAGCGCTTGCCTCGGATACTAGAGGTCGTGGGTTCAATCCCCGGTCGAATCATACCAAAACTTATAAAAATGTTACTAACAACTGTCTCTCTTGACGCTTAGCATTAACAGGTTAGTGTTAGGACTGATCAGCCTGTTGTAAGGATAATGTGACTGGGTGGGACATCATGCTACATCTCTGCAGACATCGCAGCGATAATTACTGAAAAAACCATTAAAAGCTACGTTAAAAAATATAAACACCATTTACACCTTTACTCAATATTCTGTCCTAAATATCAGTTATTAATACAAATGCGTTCGAAAAATATATTAGCACCCAAATGTATAATTTGGCACACGTACGAAATGCCAACATATTCATTGACGATTATATTTGTCTCATTTTACCTTTTTCTTTTTTATTTTATTAATATTCAGTGTACAATCATTATTATTATAAAAGGCTGGTTTGACCCCAAAGACCCTTTTTTGGCTCCTCTGAGACCTGCTAACAAATATAAAATTACCACTTCTCTGTCCTAAACTCCCACCCCCAACGATATACACATAAAATTGAAAAGCAGATCCTAGCTCATAACATGTACACCTTACTTGGTAACATCAGTTACCTAATCAATATCATATATAGAGCCCAGCCAAGCTGTAACATCTGTTACATAATCAATGTCATCTATAGAGCATAGTCAAGTTTTAAAAACCCAACCCTACACAAAATCCAAAGTCATATTTTCTATAACTACACAAGAAACTGGTCAAGTGGCAGATTTTTTTTTTAAGGAAAAGGAGGATGTGAGCCCAAAGATCTTTTATAAACACCCTCTAGACCTTCAAACAAATACAATTACAAATTACCGCTATGAGACATCCTAAAACCCCAACCCCTACACAAAATCCAAAGTCTATAACTACACAAAATACCCATGTAATTTAATCAATAATCACGCTAAGAGATCCAAGCTAAAGAACACCTGTTGCAAAATACATAGGTAACGTAATCAATAATTGCACTAAGATTTAAGTCGTGTAACAGATGTTGCTATAATTAAAAATCCTATGGAGACCGATCCAAGTAAAATGTTTTAGTAATGTTGTATACGTCATATGGAGATCACTTGATCAGAAGGAATGTTCTCGAATAAGGAAATACTGTAATGCTCATGCGTGATCGGAAGTTTCTGAAACATGAAATACAATAATGCGCATGCGTAAATGCTTTTGTATAAAAGGCAGGTACACGTCTAATCACGCAGTTTGAGGGGATGCTTCATTTGATAACAGCCACACGGAGCGGACATTTACAAGGCGAAAGGGTAAGCACATTATTTATATTTCATCACCAATGATTAATGTTTAAACTGTTGCATTAAAAATACTTCATTATCACGATGATAGAGACTAAACTTTACTTTACCGCTCACACAGCGACGAGATTCCAACAAATCTTTTATTTGTGGCTTGTTTAGGAAATATTTGTTGTCGAAAAAATATAGTTTTGACTGATCGAGATCAATTGTAAGTTTAATATATTTTTGTTGGCTAATATAACCATGAATGTTTTTAAATTCCGCTAGTAACATTTGATACAATTGTTCGAGATAATTAAAATACTCGCTGTCATCAGATCTGATGAGCGAAAGTTTTAGCCTGTCACGAGTTCCACTAAAACATATGCCTGAATTTCATGATTATGTTCAACTGTCAATTGTTTGCCGTCCATAGTTAGATATTTGATCTTGCTAGTGTAGCTATTTGTCACTGTCAAATTTTCAAACATTATTTCTTAAGTTTAGATAAAATTTCAGTTGGAAAAGATAATGTCAAGTATATATCTATCATCATAACAATACCCAAGTGCAAGTGTATCTACTCCATTTTCACAATAACGTTTATCATCGAAATTACTCAATCCACGTTTGATAATGACATCTGTTTCTAGCTTATGATGATTAATCCGAATTACCATAGCTCTCATAAAACTAACATTACCATCAAGCGCAAACTTGTAGTCATTAAATTTCATAAACATTTTAACAAAATCACGAGGCAGACCGTTTGCTTTTTTCGTTATTTTATTATTGTCTAATAATACGGCATACATTTTACTACGTAATCCGATAAAGTATTTGATAGCGCTCGAGTTCATTTCATCATTGAACTTACCAATAACCACTTTATTTGTGACGTCATGAGATTTACTGTTACGTGGGTAATCTGAAAGATCAAACATATGTCGATTATTATGCAAGTCCTAATAGATGTCCTCGCATTCGATTTCATATTCGAGCGAATCAGTAACAGTAAACAATGATCTACTTGCCGGCCACTGATATTTAGCAAAATTATAATGAAAACCGTACATCAGCCACTTTGATAAATTTAACACAGAAGCTCCAACGTAGATCGGCTTGTTTAGTTTTAGATTTTTTTTTCTTTGTATTGCAACAAGATTCTCCTTTAAAAATTTCATGCTCACAAAATCATCGTCTGACACAAGTTTGTTTCTACGATTGATATCATTAACTAGTTTGATATTTATGCGTTTTCTAATAATCTCTATCGTCTTACCAAAAACGGGATTGTTCATTAGTTTAAAGAAGTTTTTCTCAAAATCAGTTTTTGCTATAGCTCTTCTTGAAGTATTCGAATTAATATAACCTCTCATCCAAGGCGACTGGTTAAATTTTAGTACACGATGAATTTTTCCCAAAACAAGACCAGCATCGACTGCTTGTTTTAAAACTTTATAATGCAAAATATAATTATGTTTAGGAAGCAAATTTGGTACTAGTTTTTTGACCATGTAATGTTGTCTTGGTGATGCTAACGCTTGTTGTTCTTTTGCTAACAAACTGTTATATATAACCATCGATTCCGCGCCGAAAAAGTAATCGTTATGCAATTTGTGTAGCTAAGTTGGATAATTGAAATCAACTTCAACGAAATATATGAAATACCATCAGGTATATTTTTTCTGTTTCAGATAGAAATCGATCAGACGTGATCAAGTTAAATCCATCAAGAGGAATTGGTTCTACCATTGAACCACCGTAAAGATTATTACAATCTAGATAAATTATATACTTTGAGGGAAGCTAAGGTATTTACTCTTTTAAGTATTTGTTGTTTGCTTCAGCATATTTTTTCGTTATCACGCTAATACCGCCTCTGATACATTTTTCGATAAAATTGAACATATCAACGTCAGTCATTAATTTCGAACTTACCTTAATAAACTTTAGCAGAGCATCCTATGACAGCCCTGGGGCAGACTAATACCAAGAAGGATTTAGTTAGTAATTATTATAACTCATTTCACGAAAACTTTCAAAAACATCTGCTAATAATAACACGTCAGTTTTCAAATACAAATCATGATAATCACCAAATGTCTCACAATCAAATTCTTTCCAGATATTTTGTGCATACTTGTACTGGTCATCGGTTATATTTTCATTTTAAAGTTGGGAGTAAAATGTGTCTTTTTCATGTAAAGATGTTTCATCAAATTTACTCCAGTCGTCGAGATATTCGTATGGAAAAACTCCTTTTTTAGCTAGTAGATTAAATTTATCTCCAAAACAGTCTCTTAGGTTATCAAATTTACTACAACCGTTTACTAGCTCATATAAAGATGCTGCAATAAACTGCAAGCTGTCAATAAAACGCAATTTACTTAGCGTAACGGAAATGTACTTTTCAAAATATTTGGAATGCATTTGATGACGTAATCGAGTTTTAGACGAGCTTTTATTTCAGGATCACCAAAGGCTTCTGCTATAATGTGACTATCATTTCCTACAAAGTTGGGAAGACTAACTGGAATAAAATCTGGAGCATGAAATTTTAAATTACACTGATCATGAGTCGCTCCACGGTACTGTCCAGACAAATGGCAATGGTCATGTACTTTTTTGTTATCCTCAAAAGCTTTTTCACAGATATAACAAGTTTCTGCTTGCTCGTGATGGGATTCTTGTTGAGGTGTTAACTTAATCATTAATCTTTTCAAACGATAAATAATATTATCATCTTCATTGAACAATTGCTTGAGAAACCAGACAGCTGGATGTTTACCACGATATAATCTGATTGGTTTATATAATCTCAAATCAGTACAACAAACTATCTTGTAAGTTACTCCGCACGGAACATGATTTTGTGTTTTCCTTGTACTCGATTGGTTGGGATTATTTTCTACACCATGTACAGGTTGAAGTAAGCATTCAAAATCAGCGTATATGACGTAAGCAATGTTTAGTTTATGATTATGATGGACATACTGTAACACACTATCTTTCTAGATGGCATTGTTATTTTTTGTACATCACTACAGTACTGCAAATGCTTTTGTAATTTTTCATGGTCACTACAACCGTGCAAGCAGCGATAACAAAAGAATGTTTTCGTATTTCGTTTATTATACTGTCTACCAACTAGTCCGTTAAAGTTTTTCATTCAAACATGATGATTTTTATAAAAGAGTAACTTTATAGTCGATTGTGAAGCTTTTTCTGAAATATATCTCGGATATACATCCTCTTTTTCGTCATGTCCGAAAACGTTGATCGAAATATTATTTTGCTTTTCAATCTTTGGTATTTGATTTTCTGCCACTGAAAAGTCAATATCTTTAAAATTTAATCTTGACACGTGACTAATATACCTCTCAACACGGTCAATGTGTTTTTCTACTGGAAATAGCGCGGAAAGAACAGCCGATTGGAAACATTTGTTATCGACATTCTTCACGTTTATACAACATCTTTTATTTTTATATTTTTGGTGGGAGGTCGATGAACGAACTACCGCGTAATGCGTCATATTTCATCGTGAGAAACAAAATTTTTTTGATCATTTCAAACTTCCAACCTGAACCCAATAAGGTGAATACTTCTATTTTTTTCCAACTTTCTTGGTGTATTTCATCAGCTAGTGACAATAGATCAGTCCCAAATAAAAAAGTCTGGATTTCGCGTTGAAATAAGGGTCTATAGTTTCATTTTTAGTTAATTCTTCCGTCACAAGTAGTTTTGAAAATATCACATGATA